AGATAGATAGATAGATAGATAGATAGATAGATAGATAGATAGATAGATAGATAGAGAGATAGAGAGATAGAGAAATAGATAAATAGATAAATAGATAGATAGATACATGAATAGATAGATAGAGTATTATAAAGGTATCTTCCAAGTGTTTACATTCCTTATTTTTACGAACCGGAATAAGAAAAAACAAAACAACTGCAATTCATCATAAATTATTTCCAATATTTTTTCTTTAAAAATTTGCCCAAGATTTTACCCACATTTCTTTTTGGCAAGTGTAGATCGAGATAATAGAAATAACACGATTTTGACAAATAAACGTCTGGTTTCTAACCTTGGTGTGTTTTACTTTCTTCCACAGTTCGCCTTGTACGAGTACTGCCAAAACATCGACTCTCTCCTGAGATAAACAGTTTGACCAAATCTTACCGAAGTGCCTCACAGGGAGCCCGGCTATCTCGTCATTTGGAGCTGGTTATATCCCTATAATTCGTCATCCTTGTTACCCACCTTTGTTTTTTTATAAGACTGCATATTTCAAAATGGAATCCTTAAGGCCACTACTGAAACAAACAATTTCGTTGTACCTTCACCGTAAAACTTTAAAAGCATACTATGTTCCAACAAAAAGAATGAGAACAGAAACCAAATATTTCTTTGCCAGAGTAACAAGTCGCAAACGTTGGAAGAACTGAAGAATAGAATGGGCTGCATTGTTACATGTGCCTTAGTACTGCGTGATTGTACATCTTTACAGACGTTCAGACCGAGTTGAAATGTCACTGATAAAAGATTACGCTGCCTTGTTTTTAGAATTGAATCATTTTTTTGACCGCTTTATCGTCAAGTAAACTTGACTGAGATTTTAAAGTACATAATATGTGTTTGTTGATTTTTTTAAAAACAAAAAAACAAAAACAACAAAATAGATTCCATTTACACTCATGTTGTTTGTTTATTGATTTATTTGGTGTTCATGCAGCCTTGTTGAATAAGAAGAATGCGTCGTATTACGAGCGTATCTACGCAAAAGTTAAAGAAATGGACGCCACAATTGGAAGAGAACCCTGCGTGCTGATAATACACAGTGATGGCTTTTTCAGAGAATGGGAGATAGAGACAAAGAATATTTGTGCCAGTCTGACTAACAACCTATGGTTCGCAGTCAACACAATGCGAGTTTAGAGCTGTCTCGTGCAGACTCCAATGTCTAACTCTGGGGAATTTTTGTCACAGCTGTCAAAGTTGTTGAAAAATCTTGTTGAGGCCAAAACTATAAACTTATTAAGGTCAATGACCGTGTTCCACAACATTTCAGTTTCATTTTATACTGATTCCCATCTATGGAATACATAGCTTTCAAAGTCGTTTAACCCTATCCTTACGCCCTGGGTTCATTTTGTACCCCCGTGTAGTATTCTTCACATATTGGAATACTTCTAGTACGACGATCTCTTTGAAACTCTCGGTATTTCTTTTTAAAAATCGTTTAGACAGACTACTGTGCAACACGATCAGATCTACGAGTAAATTTCTTCTTTGGAAAGTGGTGGCACAGAGTTCCCCACGTCGTATGGATACGATAGTAAAACACGACGTACGGATAGGGTTAAGTCAAAACTATTAACTAGCCACGATCACTCGGTCATAAGTACACCCTGTCTAGTCCCTACCATAGAATTATAACGTTCTATTTGACTTTTTTTTAAAAGTCAGAAACCAAATGTTCTATCTGTTGTATCAAAATCGTAAGGTTGTTCGGAGGGGTCATCAAGGTATTCAAAGAATTGCCCTAAACAAAAACTTGACAAGGTGTGAAAATTTTTAAAAACTTGAATGTCAAATTTCTCAAAACTAGGAATTGAGCAGACAGAACTTTGTAATTCTAAGGTAGCTATTTGTCTCAATTTGACTCAAATAAAAAGTGGGAAGGGGGGAGGGTGCGTTTGCCATTCATGTCGGACGTAATGGTGCCGCCGATGGTACACATGTATCTCAGCGAAGTTAAAAAAAAAAAGAGTACAGGGTGCTGCCATGAGAGTTCATGATCTATGAGTCCTAGTTTATAGAATGTTTGTTTGTTTGTTTTGGTAAGAATTTTCCGGCGCTCCAATCTGCATAAGGTCATATGAGTGCGTGGAGCACTTTAAACCTTTTCAGTTTGGTAGGAATTAATTTTGAATTTTGCGCTGGTGGTGGCCGAAGCCTACCCTTTTCGATTTAGGACCACCAAGGATCTAAAGCGTGCACAACGTGCACACAAGATCTTACCTACCCTAAGATCAGGGGTGTGGCTGAAAAACAGCAATAAGAAGGAGCCAAGGAGTAACAGAAGAAAGGCGGCAGAAAGAGTCAGGAGCCCAGAGGAGAGGGAAAAGGGGGGAGGGGGGAAGGCAGAAAGTGGAGACGAAAGCAGACGACAGAACATGTTTAGAGAGCTGGAAACGAGGTGAAAGGAGAACATTTTAGTAGAGAAGATAATTTTCCGCCTCTGTCAGGTTTCGAAGCAGGGACCTTTTGAATGAGAGGCAAACACCGTAGCCTTTAGACCACGAGAGCCCCATTCAGTATGTCTTCAGCTAACAAAAATCGAGGAGCACATCCCCATACATTGCCTCACTAGACAGAGTGTGTCTCTTGGAAGTGTACATCATCTGACACCCTGTGCATACTTCAGACCATAATAATTTTGTCAAGTTCCTATAATTTGATATGGCTGGTGCAGATGAGGATGGTCTGATTTTGCTTCGTGAAGAGACAAAAGCTATCATTTGGTACATTTTGAGTAAATCCTCTAACATCAATTATGTTTGACTCTTTGGATCACTTTGACTCCAGTTTGATATTATCCTGGCTCACAACCAATCTTCTCGAAGGCTTCTTCTGGAGCGACTGAAATTAAAACTAAAGACTGCACTGCATATAAAATAATATATTCATGTATGCCATGTGAAGTGGTCTAACAAAAGAGGTCTTGTAGTCAGTCAGCTGGGGGTTAGGACGACATTGAGAAGCCAAACAGAACTGTAAAAGGGGAAATGTAATGCACATATTTGTATTCATTTAAATCTATGTATGGACTTATACATATGGGAGCGTGGTCACGCGTGCGCGCGAGTGAGTGTGGGTATGTGCGTGTGTGTGTGTGTGTGTGTGTGTGTTTATGTGTGTGTGTGTGTGTGTGTGTGTGTGTGTGTGTGTGTGTGTATGTGTGCATACGTTTGTTTGCTAGTTAGCGTCGTCATCATCATCATCATCATCATCATCATCATCATCATCATCATCATCATCATCATCATCATCATCATCATCAACATCATTATCATCATCATCATCATCATCATCATCATCAGCAGCAGCAGCAGCAGCAGCAGCAGCAGCAGCAGCAGCAGCAGCAGCAGCAGCAGCAGCAACGATTATCATGACAACAACACAAAAGCAAAAACAAAAACTTCAACTCTGAATACAGGGTGATCCAAAGAAAACAACTGTACAACTTTTTTTCTGAATATCTCGCACACAATTTATACTATAATGTTGTAATTTGGATTTGATAATATTCGTTCAAAAGGAATTTGTTTGACATAAAATTGACAAAGAAGAAACTTAATTTCGAAAACGGAAATGGCTTTTTAGAAAAATCCACTTATAAATACAAAATGTACAAATTTAAAAGATCCTGTAAAGAAAGTCATGGAATGATTAGTTTTTTTCCCCTTTTGTTTTATTTTTAAAATCGAATATTTCCACCCCTGTAACCTTTGAACAACATTTCTTTTCTCTTACAGAGTTTTAAAAGATTTGTTAAAAATTCTGAAATTCCTTGAACAAATGGTCTATATGTCCTCCTTTGGACTCGACACATTTTAACGCCTCGTTCGTAATGTTCAGTGGAGGCCAAAGCCACTTAATACACTGTACACCTTACAGTATGGAGATGTTTCTAGAGACATTTTAGGGGGGGTGAGGCTGCCGAAATAGCATTTGGGGAGTTGAGATAACTTGGAAGAATACGGGCTTGTGCTTTATCAAGGAAGCAAATGTCATAGAGGAAGTTCACGCTTTTCAAGACGATCGAGGAATCATGAACACATTGCTATCCTCTGATAGCTTCGCGAACGGGGAAAATGGCACAGTCGTAGATGAATATCTGCCTTGAGAATGCGGACCGTTGAAAAGTAGGAAAGTCATTGCTACAAACATCGTCTACGCACAGACATGTCATGGGGCTCATCTACTGAACTCTGCACTCTGGTGACGTTTAAAGGGGTGCAAACTGTGTGTGTTTGACCTGAAGTGGTTGTTTGGTCTAGAAAATTTTAGATCTGATTCTGAACTGATCGTAACTGACGGACCATTTTCACCCTTGACAGCAAACAAGGCCGTAAAGGCACTTGAACATTATTTCTGTTCCTTTCGCGAAACTTACGAAATGAGTTAATGGTTAGGAAATGTTCAATACAAAAAGCTCTCTGTTCTCTACTAATCCTAACTATGATCTCAGCAGGCAAAGGAAACTTGAGAAAAACTATCTGCAAACTTCTGTTGGCCTGTTAGACTACTGTAGTTTTCAATATGGCACAATCGTTGGGATTTTTAGTGGTATGCCTCAGGCGAACTAGTACGTCATTCTACAAAAATGGGGACATAGCTGAAAATGGGGTGTTTTATTTACGGCTTTGTAGAGCAAAGTTATTCTGTAGATTGATCTAAAATGAATATCAGACAAATTCCTTTCGACTTCCAAATGTTGTATACAAATTTGAAACGAAAAACTTCAGTGTGAAGGAAAATGTTAACAAAAGAAGTTGTACAGTTGTTTTGGGATCACCCTGTACTTTATAGAAGAAATAGTGAACACAGAATGCTGAATTCCGGTGGAAAAAACACACATTGTGTTTAATGAGAAAATATTAATGACGTTTATCATGACAAAACCACATTAAACAACAACACAACACTGTCCAGCCCACTCTCTCACCTTGACGAGAAACATATTTTACAATTTGGAAACGGAAAAAGAAGTACAATAGAAATAAAACGCAGACATAAGATTGAAACTGTACAGGTGGCTGCTTTGCCACGAAGTTCTCTCGTTGAGGAAAATGCAGTGAAAGAAATTCGAAAAACTTAACTCATTATTAGTCTTCTGAATCTAATGAAATTTTAAGACGCTGTGTAGCTCTGTAAAAGACCCACATCCAGTGTGTATACAAAACGACAAGCAATCTATCAATTCTTTTCCTACCGGTGAAGAAACAACAGGCAAATTCTGTTGGGTGAAATTGTTTCTTTTTATTTTCGTAAAAAAATGTCCATATGCGTGAAGCTTTTAATTCATTGGTTGTCGCTCAGATCTTGGGAACAAATCCAACAGCAGGTTTGATGATGTTGTCTCTATTTAGTGGTTGCTGTTGTTGTGAGCGAAACTGTTGATTTTCATTCAGCAACGGGTCGCATTGGCAGCGTTTCTATGTCTTGAATTTTAGTCCAGCCTAACCCACTATATTTGTTGGGATGCACTGGTAAAATGTGAACTGAGGAAAGAATATGTTAGAGGAAAATCAGTGTCGCCAAGTGACTTAGACGCTCGTTAAAAAAAACCCCCAAAAAACCCTGACATGATTTCTTTCGGTTAGTACTTATTATAGTACATTTGTACTAGGACAATATTGGCACAGTCTTAACGTTAGCAGATGTTTTAGGAATACGAGCTAAACCATCGCAAAATCACAAGGGTTCGCGTAGCAGGATTGGGGGGGGGGGGGGGGGGGGCGTAATAGCAACCAAGTGGTTAAGAATGAAAGAAAAAAACTAAAAGAATGAAAGAAAGACAAAAAGAAAGAAAGAAAAAAAGAAACATTTAACAACTGATTTAGATGTGAACAACACCATTCGCAATGTCGCATTTTCTTCCTTAAAGCTATCGAAACAAGCATCAAACATGTGTCAATTAATTGCTATCTATGAATACTATAATATTAATATAAAATTAATGACTTCACTTGTACCTGTGTACCAGTGTATGTGATTTGTATTTGTGGATATACCTAATAAAATGGATAGGTCGTAGAAGCACACAGTAAATGTAAAATAGTTCATTCTAATTTTGCTCAATATAAGAGATAATATTTGATTTTTAAAATTACAACGTTGGTGGTCTCGCGGTTAAGCTGTTGGGTTCGTAACCGAAAAGTCATGGCTTCAAACCCCGCTAGGGCCCAACGCTGTGTCTTTGGCGAAAGGCATTTTACACTTAGTGTTCCTCTTTTCAGCTAGGTGGGAATGAGGACCCGACTTTATACAGCACAGAATCTTGTTTCTATTTTACTGGTTAAAATAGTTTAATGGGCTGCCTGCGCTGTATGATCCCAGGAAGCCGAGAATATCTCTGAGTTTTCCAGGATCTATTGGAGTCATAATAGTTATAAAAGGCATATGATAATACTATTTTTTCAAAATGATGATGATGATGATTACCACCACCAGCACCACCACGACTACGACTACGACTACGACTACTACTACTACTACTACTACTACTACTACTACTACTACTACTACTACTACTCCAGACCTCATTGGTAGCATAGTGTTCAGTCACTCATCCTTACCTGTTCGATCTGCCCTTTGAAGCCATTGACAAAGTTAGCACTTCCAAGGTCAAGGCCACACTGGACGTAAGGGCTCGCGGGAGCTGGTGAGAACCAGGATATCATCAATATATCTTAACTTTCAGTGGAAGAAAGAAATAATCTATCATCCATCCATCCATCCATCCATCCATCCATCCATCCATCTAAAAAGTTGATTAAATTTTAACTCTCAGACTCTCATGTCTACTAGTAAAGACAACAAACAAAAAAAAACACACAAAAAAAGAAAAACCACACCGAAGGTAGAGGAAGTACACACGAGTAAAATCGTGTACAAATCTCATTCATTCACCATTTATTCACTTATTTATTTATCTATCAATCTATTTATCTGAACTTTCAAGCATTAAAAAGACTTTAAAAAAAACCCATCCAAGATACGAAAGAAGTTCCCACAAGTATTAACCTCTTGTACGAGTCTCATCCATCCATCCATTCATCCCTCCATCCACCCATCCACCCATCCATCCATCCATCCTTCCATCCATCCATCGATCCATCCATCCATCCAACCATCTATCCATCCATCCATCCATCCATTCATCCATCTATCTCTCACTCTCGAGCACTAAAAAGACGTTTAACGAACACAGCCACGACACGACAGGCGCACACACAAGCACTGACCTCTCGTCCGGGTCACGTAGCCGTCCTCGCCGTCACTGACCATCAAGGAAATGTAGTCGTTGTTGTCTACCACACGGAGTGTCTTCCATTCATCTGGTTTGAAGCCCTAGAAGCGATCGCGACAATAAACATAAGAAGGAAAAAAAGACAAGGTAAAATAAGATAAGATAAGATAAGGTAAAACAAGATAAGATATTATAAGATACGATAAGATAAGATAAGATACGATAAGATAAGATAAAATAAAATAAAATAAAATAAAATAAGATAAGATAAGATAAGATAAGTTAAGTTAAGCTAAGGTAAAATAAGATAAGACAAGGTAAGACAAGGTAAGATAAGACAAGATAGATAAGATAAGACAAGATAAGATAAGATACAAATGTATTGTCCCATGGGGACATTTTTCTTGGCTGTGCAGGACCGTAAAAAACACGTGCACGTAAATATAAAAATAAAACTATACATGTATATTTCATTATTAAACTCAATAGGAAGAGGAAAGTAAAGCTGACAATAACGCACTAAAAGAACATCAGATGGTTGCAAATGTAACTGAACTTTAATTTTGTCACGGCGTGGTGGAATCGGGCGCTCTTCAGTTTTGGACCATTTAGAGTTATTGGTATCATCTTAAAGCTTGTGTGTTTGCTTTACTTTTAATGGAAAAATGCCTATCTATCATGACAAGAGGTCGAGATACATGTATTTGCGATTGAATGAGATGGGGTTTACCTGGTGTAGGAAAGACAATGGCTGCTAAAGTTTGGTGACCTCCAAAACTTTGGTGTCCTTGGAAACTGCAAATTTACACTTTTTTATGTCTTTGATCAACTTTTTTCAGTTCTCTCCATCCTGAAATGTTTTTTTAAAGTTTACATACAAGGTGTTGAGCAGAAACAATTGCTCAAAGGGGGAAGTCCTGGTTTCTTTTATTTGTATAATCCAACTCCCGTGTGAACACAGCTTTAGGAGCTTTACATAATTTGTAAGTGTATATGTAATATATGAAAGCGACAGGCAAATTTCTTCGGACACAAAATGCGGAAAGAAGCATTGGAGAATATTGCAACAACAAGCAAGTTTGATGGAAAGAAAGGCAAAAGCAGACAGAGGGAAAAGATACAGGACAAGATGACAACATGGCCGGGAGCAGCAAGAACACCAGACACCATTACTGCAACGCAAGACAGAGTGAAGTGGAGGTTCATGATCGTACACGCCAATCGGCAAGGCACCGGATGATGATGATACGTGATTATGCACATAATAAATAATTTGTATAACCCTTTTCGGAAGGGGCTTTTCAAGATCCCTTTTGTCCTTAGATAGGCCATGAGCGTCACTGATCTACTCACAGCTGTGGGCAGTTTGAGCGTGGTGAGGAGCCCCCCGTCTGTGGTAACTTCCATCAGGATGGATTCTCTGTCCACTGTAATCAGCAGGAAGCCTGCGCGGGGGCAGTCGGGACTGGACAGCAGAGCCTGGCGGGACACGATCTCCTCGCTCTCTTTGTACCGGAACTGCAGACGATAATATCAAAGGGGCAGTTGTGAATGAATGAACGAATGAATGGATGAATGAATGAAAGGACGAATAAATGAATAAATAAATGAATAAACGAATAATAAATAAATAAATAAATAAATAAATAAATAAATAAATAAATAAATAAATAAATGAACTAATTAATAACATTCGCATAGCACATATCACCGTTCATTATGAAGCTCTATACTATACGCTTTACAACCTATATTATTACTTCAGTAGACCTAAGAACACTCAGAAGCATTCTGAGTTTCCGGGGTAGCATACTATGCTAGTAGTCAGTTAAGTGCCCAAGCACTAACAAACTGGCAAGAGAGTATGCTGTCTTTTTCTGATTCCCCTTTTCACATGGATGGAGTGAGGAAAATTTGTGTAAAATATCTTTTCCAATGACACATTATCTTGATCTGTTGTGACTAAATGTGTCTATTTTGTGTTGTTTACATATCAACAACATCTAAAAACAACTTCGTCAAAAACAATAAAAACAACAACACGTTACCCCAAGGAGGCTGTGGCCTTGACGAGAACATTCCTTTTCGGGGTCGCGGTGGACACACCGGAGGCATAATAATAGATACTAGATAGCATTTGTATAGCGCAAATCCCCGCTCTACAGCAAGCTCTATGCGCTTCACAATCTATACTATTACCCCAGCAGCCTGAGAGCATTCTGAAACAACATCAACTTCCTGGGAAGCATACAGTGCAAGCAGCCATTTATAGGCGCTAAAACACTCATATATTGACACGATCATTCCCACCTGGGTGAAGTGAGGACAATTCGTGTAAAGTGCCTCTCCCAAGGACACAATGTCGGGCCTGCGGCTCGAACCCCCGACCCCGCAACCTCACGATTACGAATCCGGTTGCTTAACCACTAGGCCACCAACGCCACCGCTTAACAGAATGCAATAATGGACTCCGTTGTCCCCTGATCTGATGAGCCACTGAGGCTCATTCATACAAACATACACTCTCACACACATTCACACACATACACAACAACAACAACAGCAGCAACAAAACAACGACAATTACAGCAACAACAACAACACCACCACCAACAACAACAACACAACAACAGCACCAAGGTTATCAATGACAATAACATAGAACTAAACAAAACAGAACAACTGAGGAGGAAAACACAGAGGAGAAGACATTCTTCACCTGTATAACCAATGGTCCCCCATAATTTGCAAAGTCAGCATTTCCATCCAGATTGATGCGCAGTTTGGAGGTGGATCCATCCAGCACTGCCTGCCCCAGGTTAGTCAGCTGGATGTTCTCAGACGTGAACTCACTTCGGCGTATAGCAAAGTTTGGAATGTCAAGTCTTGGTCCACAAACTGAAGGAAAAGAAGCAACATATTACTATGTTTTCGTTCAAAAAATAATAATTCTCTGGACAGCTGTTAAATTGTACTAAGACCAAAATTTTTATTTCTTTAAAAAAATGCAGTTTCTCAAAAATCTGACAGCTGTGGTTCTTTTCCCAACGCACCAAAAGAGTGAATGGTGTCAGCGTAGTCAGTGATTAGGCTGCCGGACTCGTAATCGTGAGATTGAGTGTTCGGGGGCTCACGGTTCAGCTGGGACTGACATTGTCCTTGGTAAAAGCGCTTTACACGATTGTTCCCATCTGGTTCGCTTTTATCGGATATGGACGTTACATTTGGAGGTCTCGCCTCTCAAAATAACCTTACAATATTACAAAGGGCATTAATTTCGCACATTTTGCACAAAAGACTCGCGTGGAGGAATGTTTTGTCAAGTATTTTTGTCTTTTTGTTGGATGTTACAACTTTCTCAGTACCTGTTGGCCCTGACAGGCAGGGCCTTTGAGACCCGTGATGTATGATATTGTACTGATGGAGTGGGAAAGCAATTTCAAAACGATTGAACCCTATCAGTATGTTGTGTTTTACTATCGTATCCGTACGACGTTGCCAACTCTCAGCCACCATTTTCCAAAGAGGAAATTTACTCGTTAATCCGATCCGTACGCTTTGCTTAGCAGTCTGTCAAAAAGATCTTTTGAGAAATACTGAAAGTTTCAAAGAGATCTTCGTACTAGAAGTATTCTAAAATGTGAATGATACAACCCCGGGGGTACAAAATGACCCCCCAGGGCGTACGGATTGGGTTAAGGACCAAATATACATATAGATCATCTTCTTACACAAAACACTTTCTAATAATAACTCGTGGAGTTTGAATGGCTTATAATTCTTAATGAAAAAGAGAAAAATGGAAATTGCATGAGTTTAATTCCTTGAGATATTTAGAGAAGTATCTTCATCGTTTTGGTGGATCATAATATTCCACACCAGCATAGGTGGTGATGACAGGCGGGGTCGAAGTAGCCAGCCTCCTAAACTATCTCCAATGTGTCGATGGAGGATCAACACATTCTCAATCGTCTATACAGAAAGGATAAAAAACCCAGTAATAATATACAATATGCTGTCACTTCAGTAACCAGTGAGGTGAGGAAATTAACTCTTCAAGAACGTAGCAGACACAAATATACACATATATATATATATATATATCTATATATATATATATATATATATATATATATATATATATATATATATATATATAAATATCTGATCATCGACAGACCTAAGGTAATGTTGCAGCACATTTTTAACCACAACGTACAAATATAAAAAGTTCAAATTAGTATGCATGTTCTCGTCTGTCTTATCCAGTTCAGATAAAGAATCCAGAATTGAAACTTTTGTATGAATAATGAAGTTCTATAACGTTTTATCCATTTTCTTTTTTAACCTTTTTTTTTGGGTACTACTTGCCGCACTCATGGGTACACCCACGACGGAGCCCGGTCATTAAAAAGTGTGTAAAAAGAGCACGTCTGAAGACGTTGTCCAACGACATGACTGCACGACGTCCTTAGGGAGTTAACCGGGGAAATGTTGAGTCTAGGTCTTATTGTAAGGAGTCATTGGCAAAAACAAAACAAAACAATTCCTGTGTACGTGTTTATCCGGTACGTGTTTATCCGGTACGTGTTTATCCGGTACTTGTTTATCCGGTACTTGTAAAATGGTCACCGAACTATTCCTTCCTCTTTTGTCTTACCGGTATCAAAGTCTTCCTCACGAAATCATTCACAGTCTATCAATCATATAAGCCACCAATCTTACCCTATTGTATACTTATACATAAAAAAATTAATTTGGGGAAAAAGTATTTTCTTCATGTTTGGGGGGGGGGGGGGGAGGGGTGGAATCTATCGTTTGTGGTTCCCTTTTTAATGTTAAAAATCGTTTGTTTGTTTGTTTGTTTGTTTGTTTGTTTGTTTGTTTTTATATTTTGTTTGTTTGTTTTGGGGTGCAGGGGGAGGTGGGTGTTTCGTTACTTTGAGAACACATTACCTGTTTCATTCTCTGCTCTCCAGGGTTTAGGCACGCAGTCACAGCTGGCCAGATTGAAGTAAGTGTTGTCTGGGCACTGTTGCGCCACGTAGCTTCCCTCTCCGTCACTGGACAGCCTGTACCGCTCGAACGAGGTGGGGTCGTTCCACACGGGCCGGAACACGCATGCGTCTGGGAACAGGATGTGAGGGGGGGGGGGGGTACAGTTCCGGTTTGAAAAGGGCAAAGTGGAAGGAAGCAATATTTTGTTTGTTTGTTTTTTCAGTTTGTTTTTGTTTTGTTTTGTTTTGCTTTTGTTTCAGTAAAAGTTTTACGGCAATTGCAGCAGAGATAGGTCACATAAGTGCCGAAGATAAGAGGTGCTGCTTGAGAGTAAACACACAGAAAAGAAGGAACGATCAGGACGCTAGATGTTTGATAGGAAATAAGACGGAACCAACTCCAGAGAACCCGACAGCCACCCAAGGTATCTTTGTCTACGTAGCCCTTTTCTCCAGTCCTTCTGAGCTGCACTTTTCGGGTGAAGTGAGATAGGTAGGTGGTGCGGTGAAAAAGTGACTGGTTTTTAGAGTTGGAGAAATGTTTGAAAGTCTCATCTTTTTAACAGCTGCAGACTTAGCTCCTGTCAGCCATTCTCTGAATCACATTTTGAATACTGAAGTGGTGAAGACGGATTATGACATACCTTTACAACTGAATATTTATTTGAGCTTGTGCTTTTCGAACTAAGACAACAAGTAAATTTCAAGTTCTCTCAGAGAAAATAAAATACCAAGGCGTCTGTGGTGTAGTGAATAAGAGTTTCACATTTACACGTGCCGAAAACCTGGGTTCGATTCCAGTGAGAAGAGAATTTGTATGGAGTATCTCGGTGTTGTATCCCTCTCTTCCAGGGTTGATTGAGGCAAGCAGAGTCGAAGCCGGCTCCCAAGTGATCTAATTTGTGTCGTTGATGGCGTAAAAAACGACTACATTAAAAATAATGTTAAGAGAAAGCACAGTTTTCTAACACATCCGGCTCTCACATGTTCTGGCGGCAGACACGGAGGAGCAGGAATCTATACATCCCGGGCACACCACACATCCGACCTTGGAGTAGGCGTATCCCATTGGACAGCAGTTGGGGACGGACCGCCTACCCACGCATGCATAGTAGCCACGACAGTTGTTGGAACTTCTGGTGCGGGATCGGCTACCGTTGCACTCATCTGGGAGACAGAAGGCGGGGTGAGCGTTACAAAGACAAAAGCAATATCTTGTTTAACAACCCACATTTTAAAAAAGAACTTAAAAATGAAAAAGTGGACAGGAGTAGAACCTTCATTCAACCCAGTTTTGAAAAAAAAACATGGCGAGTGTTGATATTATTTTTTAAAAGCATTTATCTCAGTTGTCAATTTCAATATTGAGACAGGGACAATCTTCGTAATAGATGAGAAAATAATTGGTATTAATTTCCCTTCCCATTTCAAAATGTCAACAAGGTAACTCTAGCCTACCCTTATATATGAACGGTATCTCCATAATAATAACTGGCTGATTTAAATATTGCTCAGTTCATTTTTGCTCGTCTGAGAGGGGATTCAGAGCCGGCACTTGTCATGGGTATATCCTTGCGCATTACACGTTACCCAATAATCAGAGCAAAACAACTGGTGTTTGCAGTGTGGCGGTTAGGCGCTCCACCATCGCACACAGAAGACCTGATTTCGATTCTCATGTGAGGAGAACTTTTGTCTAGTATTTCTCCTGAAGCATTGGATCCCTTTCAGCCCTGGTTGTCTATGACAGGCAAGGTCGAAGCCCGCCTCCTACGTCATCTAAATTGTGCAAAACGCCTCCATTAAGAGAAGCACTAAGTTGTACACAATCGAGACCAGCTATGACAGGCCACGCCCAGAGACTATTTGTAGCAACGCCTCTTTACTGTTGTCAAAATTAATGAAAAGACACATTTTTGATGATGATCACGGAAACTGTCTCCCCTTTTCTTATGAAATTCATTTAAGTTTTACCTTCAGCTGGAGAGATTATACTTGCTTGTTCGCAAGTTCTGGTTTGCTGGCTCCAGAAAAGACCAAATGGACACTGGCGCACGACAGCTATTGTGTTTGACACTCCCATGGTCACGGCATCAATGCTGAGAATTGAAAAAAAAATAAATGAAAGGAAGAATACTCAATAAGAAGACATAGAACATACTGTTATCAAAATTTGGAATCGAAAATATCAAGGATTGGAATACCCAATTGGAAGACAAAATGAACTGACTATAATAAAACTACGAATGTAAAAAAAAGTTTAGGAACTGGAGGACACAAAAAGCACTGACTCTAGAAAGGATGACTTAAAGAGGTTGATGATTTCAGAGACATGTTCATTTAGCATTGTGTATCTTTTTTTCTGAACAGAAAAGAAGAAAAACTAGGAAAGCCTTGGTCGGAGTTAGTTGATCTCAGCGAGAAATTGGTTACGATAGTATCTAAGAGTAAAGGATACTCTTATTGCAAGAATACTATTTTTATCCCCCCCCTTCCCTCTCTCTCTCTCTCTCTCTCTC